CATGGTCAGATGTGGAGCCAGGGTCCTTGAGTTCAGATCCCATCTCCACCATTCACTAGCTTGTGTGACCACGGACAAGTCACTTATGTGCCCCAGGCCTCAGCTTCTTTATTGGGATAATTAGTGGTTTGGACAAGAAGACTTACATGGTGTATTTGAGCTTTAAATCCATGATCCTCCAATCTGTCCTTCAGGAATGAAAGAAAGTTATAATGAGGCAAAGTGAGAATTCCTGACCATGAGAACTATCCCTGAGTGGAATAGGCCATCTGAAACATTCCCCTCATTGGAAGTCTTCAAGCCCTGGTGGAGACTTTCATAGAGATGGTTGGACTGGGTAGCTGCTGAGTTAAGATACCTCCCAACTTCATATCTGTGATTCTGTAATATCAGTCAATTCAGTAGCTAGGTGAAGGATGGATTGGAGAAGGGGGAGACTGCAAAGCAGATGCATTAGAAGGTGATTGCAGTAAATCCAGGTAAGAGGCAATGAGGACCTGAACCAGAGTGGTTGTGGTATAAGGGGAGAAAAGGATGCTTGAGACGTTATCGAAGGAGAGCCAATCGAATTTGCTATCGTTGATTGGCTATAGGGTGTGAGAGAGAGAAGGAAAAGTCAAGGATAACTCCAAGATTGCGAATCTGGGAGAATGGAAGGATAGCAGTATCCTCAGTGAAAATGGCAAAGTTAAAGCCATTTCCTAATAGAGTAGTTAAAAGGATGAACTAACAGTTCTGAAAAGAAGAATCACACCCTATTAACAATCAGATGAAAGAATGCTCCATTTCGCCAATAGTAAAAGAAATGCCCATTTTAAAAAAACCCTCAGAAGATTGGCAAAGATGACAAAAGACAGGAAAAGTGCATGGTAGAATGGTTGTGAGACAGGTAGAATTTATTTTCATAATTCCAAATTGCTTTCCAGAATAATTGCACCAATTCACACCTCTAAGAACAGCTGTTAGAACTGTGAATTGGCACAAGCATTCTGGAAAGCAATTTGGAGTTATGCAAATAAAATGACTGAAATGCCCATACCCTTTAACCCAGAGAATTCTGCCATTAGGCGTGTACCTCAAGGAAGGCATTGACAAAAAGAAAGACTCCATATGCCCTAAAATATTCACAGCACTCCTTTTTGTGGCAGCAAAGAACTCAAACCCAAGTAGGTGCCCATTGGTTGTGGGGGTGCTAAACAAGTCATGGGACATGACCGTAATGGACTACTGCCATAAGAAATGATGAGCATGACAAATACGGAAAAGTGTGGAAAGACTTACATGAACATCATGATGCAAAGGGAAGCCAGGGGAGCCAGGAGAACGATGTACACAGTGACGACAGCAGCACCAACAAGCACAGCTGAATGCTGCAGCGTCAGGGGGAGGGTCCATGGCTATGGAATGCTGCATGTCACGTCACATGGGTTGATGGATTTACTGATTTTTTTTTTTCTCTTTTTTAAAAGAATTCTTTGGAGGCAGCTAGGTGGCGCAGTGGATAGAGTTCCAGCCTTGGAATCAGGAGGACCTGAGTTCAAATTTGACCTCAGACACTTGACATATACTAGCTGTGTGACCCTGGGCAAGTCACTTAACCCCAATTGCCTCACCAAAAAAAAAAAAAATCTTTGTCATTTATAAGGGATGGCTCTCTGGGAGGGGAAAGAGGAAAGCTACAGAGGGAAATCTGGGTGATGTGAAAGCAAAAGAGAGCAATCTATTTTTAAAAAGAAAATGAGGGAGTTAGGAGGGGTGGGCTTTGGGGGAGACCGATAACGCACCTTTCACTTGAAGCCGTACCTGAGGTGTGGTGCATGGGGAGCCCCTTTGTTTCTGAGGATGCTTTTCTTTACAACAGTCCACCCTCAGTGTCAGTGCTGCATTACTTCCAAGTTGGCTGCTTAGCAAACTTCTGTTCATCCATAGATTCCCATTTTAACCTGGAATGTAGATACTCAGGCTAATCTAAGGAGCAAATGGGAATGTGGCCTCCTTGCTTCTGGGAAAAGCCTTCCGAGCTCTGCTTTCTGGCTTCCCTCATGTAACCGTGCCTAGAGGGAAGGCTCACCATTATGGCTTCATAGTGTGCAGTATGTTGTCTGTGTATGTTGGGCGTGTGGCTGCTCTTAGAGGACCAGCAGCTCTGGTGTGAGGGCTGCTCATCCACCTTTGTTTGTTTGTTTGTGTTGGGGGGGGCTTTTTGGTGATGCAGTTGGGGTTAAGTGACTTGCCCAGAGTCACACAGCTAGTGAGTATCAAGTGTCTGAGGTCAGATTTGAACTCAGGTCCTCCTGACTCCAGGGCTGGTGCTCTATCCACTGCGCCACCTAGCTGCCCCTGCTCATCCACCTTTGGTGTCCAACTGTCACCCAACTCTCACCTGTGCCTCCAAGAAGCGATAGCATGCACAGCGGCCACACCCCGGCAAAATTGTCTTGGCAGATGGGCTAAACCTGGTTGACGGTAACCAGCAGGCCTCAAACATGTAGGTGGAGTGGAGGAGTGTCCACCCCAAGCATGTGAAGACTTCTCCTGCAGGAATGGGTGCGTGAGAACAGTTTGTTCCAGCCTCCATGAAGGTGGCTGACGAAGGTGGGGTGGAGCATTTGGAGCTTGGCCAGGCATCAAAAAGTCCAAGGTCCACTGCATCCCAGGCCATTGCCAGTCATCCTGACTCATCTTGCTATTGGACTTCAATGACTCTAGAAGAAAGAGCGAGGTGGAAGACTTTGTGCAGCTCTGCCTCACTTAAATCCAAGTCATGCACAAGTCGAGACATCGCCCTGGGACATCCTTGGTCCTCTTTGAAATGAAGGATGATTATTGTCGTCCGCACCTGGAACTTCATGCATTCATTCATGCACACACTCGCTCATCCGTGCATCGTCACTCAATGCAGCACAAGAGCAAAACGCTAGGGAGTCCTCTTCTCACGAGTTGTGTCTCTGTCTGACCAGCTGGACCCTCAGCTCACTCTGCTGAGCTGTTGACCTCGTAGGTGGCCATTTGTGCTCCTGTGTGGTCCGCTCTGTGAGTCTTCTTTACCAAGCTACCCTCCCATGTGACGTCAGCCACCTCTGAGCCTCTAAAGAGCTCTTCATTTGTCCTGTGATCCTGCACACACTCCTTGTCCTTGGGCCTCCAGAGAAATGATGGCTGAGTTCCTGTGGCATGTACTCGAAGCTCTTCTGCAGGGATAGTCATCATAGCTAAGAAGTAAATGAACAAGAGACAGCGTGCAACCTATTTATATTACACTCCTGAAATTTTATGGGACTGCTCTGTGATGTTAAGCACTATACATTCCATAAAGTCTTATTGTGACACCTCATCCTGGCATAGGGGTCAGACCCTGGGCTTCCAGGTGTTGGGAGGCTGTCAGTGAAGGAGAACCATCCATGGCAACTCCTCCAGATCTGCAGAGGCCAGAAGGAGGAACCCAGCACTGGACAGCGACTCTATTATCAAAGGCCCAGCCTAGCTCAGGGAGACTGCGACCAGTGTCAGCAGGAGGGCCCATATTAGTGAAATCACAGTACTCTCAGAGAATTGGAGAAGTAAATGTTTTAGTCTCCAATTCATTCAACATTTATTAAGCATAAGTCCACTTCCCTTGGCAGTATACTCTCCAGGGATGTCCACATAGATGATGAGGTTTATGCACACATTGCCAGAGCTGGCTCAGTGTTTTGGAGGCTCAGAAGGAAAGTGTGGGAGAGAAGAGGTATTAGACTGACTACCAGACTGAAGGTCTACAGAGCTGTTGTGCTGACCTAGTTGTTGTACACCTATGAAACCAGAACACTCTACCAGAGCCGTGCCAGGAAACTGAATCGCTTCCATGTGAATTGTCCTAGGAAGATTCCGAAGATCACCGGGCAGGATACGGTATTGGACACTGACATCCTTTCTTGAACTAAACTGCCAAACATTCAAACTCTGCTGCAGAGAGCACAACTCCAATGTGCTGGCCACATTGTTTGAATGCCAAACTTATGTTTGCCTAAAAGACTATTTTACCAAAAACTCACACAAGGCAAGCACACACCGAGGTCAGAAGAAGCAATGCAAGGACACTCTCAAGGTCTCTCTGAGGAGCTTTGGAGGTTTAGGGGAGATGCTGGCACAGCACCACCCAGCATGGTGTGCCCGCAGCAAAGAAAATGCTGTGTTCTGTAAGCAAAGCAGAATTGCAGTAGCTCAAAAGAAATGTGAGATGCACAAATTTAGACACCTCCATTCCAAATGTTCAAATGGACTCTTTGTGCCTGACCTGTGGGAGAGCCTTCCTAGCTTGTATTGGTCTGATCAGCCATAGTCAGACACACTGTACCTTGACCCTTCCATAGTGATGTCCCCTTCAAGCACAAAGGACAGTAACCAGTAAGCACCTGCTGTGTACACATGGCTGTATAGCAGTGCTTTGAAGCTTCAACATATCTTAAATTGAAACTACATATAGTCCCAATAAAGGTTCTTGGTTTTGTTCTTTTTACAAAGCACATTTTAATTTTTTATAATTTTCAGTCATTTTTATTCACCATGTTTATCACGTGGAACCTAGTTAGTTTGCTAACCTGAGCAATACTGGTGGCTAAGTCACCAGTTTCAGTAGTGCCCACATAGTAATGAAAGAGGCAGGAGAGGGAGATTCCAGAATCACAGTCGGATTAGAGAGAACAGCTAGCTTGGAGACCATCAAGGTCAATCTCATTACTTTACCAATGAGAAAAAAACTGATCCTGCTAAGGCGGGGCTTCCCTCTCCCCTCAGAGCCTGCAGCGGCCACTCACCCACAGAACCCAGCAAGGCAGCGGCGCAGTTATCAGCTTTCTGATTCCTCCCGGGTTTGATTGCATTGCATTCAGTTGTGCAGAATAACTGTCTTAGGGCGAGGCGTCCAAGGCAGGGAGAGCTGTGGCCGCTGGCGGGAGAGCCCTTGGTGCAGCCTCTGATTAGAGCTGATGTTTTTTCACTCCTCTTGTCATTTGACACAGGTCTCGATATGGAAGAAGGGAAAGAAGGAGGGTCATGGCTTGGAATCAGTAAGAAAGGAAAGCTGGCAGCCCTGACAAATTACATGCAACCAAAGCTTGATAAAGACGCCAAAGGCAGAGGTACGACGCGGAAAGGCTCTGGATGGCAGTGCGTATTATTTAAAAAAAAAAAAGCCTTGTAATAATAGCGGGCATTAAGATGCCGTTTTAAGGTTTGCAAACCACTTTCCATCTCCTTGTTCTCCATGACATGCATCTTACAGGTGTTGTTAGATCCTCATTTCTAGATAGGGAAACTGAGGCCCATGGCCACACACCTAGCACATGTCAGAGTGAAGCTGTGAGCCACCATTCTATCTGGAACTCAAGTCCAGCACCTGTTCTGTTATATCATGTGCTGCCTCAACTCCCTTTAAGAAAAAAAAAACAAAACTCTTTTCCATATTCTGTCAGCCCAAATTAGAAAAGCGTCATGTCATTGGCAGTACCCTGCTCCAAGAATGGGGACCTAGGAAGCACGCTCAGTGATACAGGCTTACACGATCATAGATTCAGAACTGGAAGATACCTTGGAAGTCATTGAGTCTGACGCTTTTATTTACAGATGAGGAAACTGAGGCAGACAGTGAGTTGAAGTGACTTGCCCAGGGTTACACAGCTAGTAAATGGCTGAGGTTAGATTTGAAATCAGGTCTTCCTGACCCAAGGCCCAGCGCTCTGTCCACTGCACCGTTCTATAATCGGTGAAAGGATGCTAGAATGTGTCTGATATGAAGCTCCATCACTGCTTACCTCCCACACAGATGCATGCTGTGGTTGGGAGCTCAGGAATAGCCAGTCATTGGCTAGACCAAGGCCAGCTGTTAATTATGTCACTCAAAGGTTCCTTGAGTTGTGTCAAAAGGAGAACCAAGAGCAGACCGTGACCACCCCATTCCTTGCAGCCTGTGCCCCATTACTCTCCCACCACTCACTGCATTGACCCTCCACCTCACCACAGAGTGCCAGGTTTCCACATCGGCAGCCCTTGTGCCTCAGGCCCCTTCCTCCTCTCTGGCATCTCTAAAGACCCCATCTGGAATGCCCATGCAGTGCCTGTCTGGGGGCTCAGAGCTATAAGGAGCAGGCCTCATGCCGAGCCTCCCAACTGTACCTCCCAACCATGTCCTGGTGTCTACACCAGCTCCTCTCTAAAGCCCTTGGTGCCCTGTGAGAATCCTTACAAGCATTGTGAGGACATTTGGCATCACGTACTCTTAGTTAATAGATTTTAGTTTGTGCTGGTAATCTCAAAGGCAGAATGAAGAAGCCCAAGCTAAGGAGGGAAGGGAGGGGAGAAGAGGTGCTCGGGTCCCTTGAAGATTTCCTTGTCCTTTTCTGAATCAGAGCAACCAAGGCCTCAGACCCTGGGGATGGCCTCTTGGCAGCTCTTTTCTTCCAAGAAAACTCTTTGTCAGCCCCTGCTTAGGAGTCCCGTGTTGTACATGGCTGCTCTAGGATGGCTGAAGGCCAGCCCAACCTCGGGGCCAGCTTGTGAGACCTGACTCTGTAACTTAGGCGGTGGAGGACCCTGCCAAGTCAGCCTAGCCCTCTCAACCTGTTTCCTCATCTAAGCAATGGGCATAATTACCCCTCCCCTGCCAAGGTCCCAGGGTTATTGTGAGAATCAGAGAAGAGACAAATGTCAGAGCTCTCTAGGAAGCATGAAGAACTATTCAAGCCCAAGTGCCTCCCTCGGCTATCATCCAAATGGCCGTGCTGTTCCTTGGAAGTGTCTGGTGTGTGTGCCTGCCGGGCTTGCAGCTTCCTGTCTGTAACCCAGTGCGCTTCTAAGGTCTTTTCCGACTGTGACTCTCGGTCCTGCCAGCCACGTTATTCCTCGGTCCCAGCCCCGCCTGTTTCATCTGGGGGATAGGGGGGTGCCAGGGGGGCTCAGAGTCCTGCTCGTTCATTCTACTCTCCCCTTCCCTGTAGGTGAGCTCGTAACCCACTTCCTAACCACGGACGTGGACAGCTTCTCCTACCTGAAAAAAATCTCCTCAGAAGCACACCTGTACAACGGCTTTAACTTGATAGCTGCCGATTTAAAGTAAGTCTGTACCGTGGGCGAGCTCAGCGATGCGCAGGGGAAGGTTGGGAAGGGCGGTGGCAGCGGGGCGGCCCTGGGCACGGGCCGGGCTCTGCCTCCACGCTGGAGGCCCACGCTCTGCCTGCGTTCCCTGGTCAGACAAAATATCCAACGAAGGGGCGTTTAGACCAACGGAAGAGGAAAACCCGGCGACCTCTGCCTCGCCAGGGACCAACTTTACACCTGACCAGGAATCCCTTACGCACGATCGCCCATGGAAAGGCTCTCACGGTCAGGAAGATTTTCGTGGCACTTCAATTTGCTCTGTGCAGACTTCTTGCTGCTTCGGGGCTCACAGGATAGGGACAGGCCTTCAGATGCCGCAGGGCTGAAGAGCCTCTCACGGGGTCAGCGCCCATTCTCCTGTCCTGGTTCTCCCGCTTCGGACATGCTCCAGCATGTGCCCCGCCCCAGCGTGGCCCCTCTGGACGTGCTCGAGCTAGTCCTCCCCTCTTTCCCCCTGCCCCACCCCCTCGTGGCCCTTTCCAGGTCTCCTTTGGAAACGCTTTTCGGAGTTTTTCTGTTTGCGCCTTCAAGTCTGACTTCTTTTCCAATTAACGTCCTCAAGAGTTTTTTCTAGATCCTCTCTTCAATTACTGTTTCACCTTCATTGATTCCTGGGGCCCAGGGGAGCCATGATACTGAAGAGGAAACATCGAGTCAGCACAAGTACAAACCCTGAAGCAGCTGCTAAATCGGTGTCCCCCAGAGCCACCGAGCACAGCCCCGATGACCCCAGCCCCTCTTCCGCTTACAGCCTCCTAGGGCCGGCGGACACAGAAAGAGAATTCTAAGCGCCCTGGGCGTCATCCCTGATGGCAGGGGGATGTCAGCTGGAAAGAGAAGTGAAGCCTATGCTGCTGATCCTACCTGGGAGAGGTTGGGGGGCAGGGGACCAGCCACGATCAGGCTTTCCCACGTCCGTGGGATCTAAGACACAAGGCCTTCCACTGCATCTCAGCCAGTCATCCTGACTTTTGTGCTGCCACTGGACGTGGATGACTGTGGAAGAGAGTGAGGCCCATGACTTTGTGCAGCTCTACATCACTGAAATCCAACGTATGCACAAGGCAAAACATTGCCTGGTGATATCAAGGACACACAACCAATGACCAGTATTGTCCCTGCTACCCACAAACAAGCAGGAATGGCACGCTTCCCTGAACAGCCCTCGTTTGAGTCTGCCTTCATCGCTCTCTCCAGTAGCCAATGACCTCTTCTTTGCCCAATCTGATAGCTTTTCTCAGCCCTCATTCTTGACCTCTGTTGATCACTATCTCCTGCTCATAACTCTCGTCTCCCTTGGTCAGGACACCCTCTCTCCTGGTTCTCTTCCTACTTCTCTGACCACTCCTTCTCTGTCTCCTTTGCTAGATCTTCATCCAGATCACTCACCCCATCAGTAGGTATTTTCCGTCCTCGACCCTCTTCTGTTCTCTCCCGATTCTTTCACTCAGTGACCTCATCAGCTTAGTACATTCTATTTGAATCTCTCTTGAGATATTTCCCAGATTGATATTCTGTTCCTAGTCTCTCTCCTGGGCTCCAGCTCCGCATCACCAGCTGCTTCTTAGACATTTTGAACTGCATGTCCCACAGGATCTCAACATGTCCAAAACAGAACCCATTATCTTTTCCCCAAAATTCACCCTTCCTCCCAGGTTTCCTCTTTTCGTCGAGGGCCCCACCATCCTCCTGGTCACCCAAGTTTGCAACCTGAAAGTCATTCTTCATTCTTCATTCTCATACCTCTCTCCTAATTAGTCTTCCTGCCTCGAGTCATTCCCCGAGCCATCCATCTTCCACACATCTGCCAAAGTGTAGTCCTGGCGTCCGGGTCTGGCCATGTTATCCCCCCTCCGCCCCCCCAGGAAGGTCCAGTAGCTCCCTATCACTCAAATACAGTGTTCTGGGTGGCAGTTAGGACCCTTCACAACCTGGCTCCATCCTTCTTTTGCATAAACTTCTTCCTGAGTCCAGGCTGTCTTCCCCCTATAGAGTGAAGGCTCCTCCAAGACCCAGATGGCTTCCTCAGTGTCTTTGAATCCCCTGGGCCTTGCAGAGTCCCTGGAGCCTAATAAATGCTTTTTGATTGAGTGCTTGATCCTGAGTTCCTGTCAGCGTTCAATCTCCAAATCCCTTCTCATACCACTGGCTTTAGCAGTAAGAGGCACAGGGATTCTCATCCATATTTCACAGGGGAGGAAACTGAGATTCATAATGGTTCCATGACTTCCACAGACATAAGGCAACCCCAACTGAGCCAGGGCTTAACACAAAGTCTTCTGACCCAAAGGCCAGTTTCCTCTCTAGGCTCCTGGCTGCCTGCAGATAAGACTTGAGTAAATGGTCTGCCCAGGATTTTAGCTATGAAAATGTGGGGGACACAAAGTCTAGGAGACAAGGTCATTTGAGTGCTGTGGATCGCTCTGGAACAAGGGATCTGTGATTGCAGTGATCAGAGCTCCCCCCACTGAAGCCGATGACAATTTGGCTGCAACTCGGGAGACGGTGTCCAAGCGTCTCTGGGAAGTCAGAACTTCATGGATGTAAAACTAGAAAAGACCTTTGAGGTCACTGAGTCCAGCTTCCTCATTTGATAGATGAGGCCACCAAGGCCCTTCCTGACCCTAGGCCTGGCATTCTGTCCACACCTCACATCCCACAGAGCTGGGCAAGGACAGCGGGGACATAAAGCCTGAGCAGTGAGAGAAATGGGATAAACAGGAAAGCATTGAACTGAGGAGAAGGAGGCTCTGGTCTGACTTGGCTGGTTCAGTGAATGGTCAGGTTGTTTCCTTTGCTCCATCCCTAAAGGGAGAGATATGCCTTATGATATCTCCACATCATTCCCCTGTGCAATCACTGTGATCTCCATTCATCCTCTGCTTGACATTTCAAGCCTTTCATCACCAGGTTCTGGCCTTACTGCGTATGACTCCGTTCCACAAATGCTGTAGGTTGGTTTCCTTACTGTTCCTTATACAGGACCCTCCATCTCTAGCCTCCATGCCTTTCTGCTGGCTCTCCCTCGACATAGGCCCCATGATATCTCCAAGGGTCATTCCAATGCTGGCACTCTGTAACTCTGAGTTTACTTGATAAAATCTGGCATCCTCAATTAGAAGAGGTGACCAGGGAGAACAGCCGTCATCTCGTGAACGGCATGATTTTGCATGGAGCATTTGAAGACATTACTAATTAAACAACAAAAGTGACAGCTGGCTTTTGTGGAGGGGTTCCTGGGACTCACAGACCTAGGAGACGGGACAGGAGAGTACAGAGCTGCTGCAGATTTCAAATTATGAGAGGAAAACTGAACACAGAGTGAACGAGACGAAAGGAAGGTCAGCGGAGAGCAGGCACGATGGTAATTGAAGTAATTGATGTAACTCTTTGTTGGCGAGTGAAAAAAGGAAGACGAAGTCTCTTCACAGGGGTCGCCAGGTCACGTGAACAGGCAGAACCCAGGAGAGGGAAGATTAAGAATGGTTCAGGTTAGGACGATAGCGACTTTCGGAGTCTCTCATGAATAGGAAACTATTAAGGATGTAAAATTATACATCAAAGAGACCAAATGAGGCTGGCCCAGATCAAAGGAGGATTTGGGCTGCGTAGCAGTTGGTATCCCGTCCAGTTGTGCTTTAGAACATACAAGACCTGAAATTACTTTATAGCTCTTCTCACAGTGGATGGCTAAAGGGCAGACCTGTCATCCCCCACAAGATGCATGATAATGGGGAATGGCGCGTCATTAGAAGAACTGCAACAATGCCCTCAATAAGGTGCTCGAGCCCAGGAGTGGAACGAAAGGTGGCTTCATTTTTGTGGCCGGTCCTCTGTGCATTTGCATGGACAGTTCTGGAGAATTCATCAATTGCAGGATGCGATAATTGTAACCAGTGTGAGGTGACCAGGGCTTTGCCCCACAGGCACCATATTTAGAGGGCATAACTTACCCTTGTAGACCTTTAGCAACGTGGCAGCCGGAGACCTTAGTGCACCTTGTTGGCCAGGACGATTAAAATGGGGAGCCACCCTATGGCAGGCTGGGGCAGCTCCTGCTCCAGTCCCACACCCTGGGCATGGTGGTACTTGCCTGGCACACAAAAAATTGCTAGTTATAGCTTGAGCAATAAGCTTGTCAATGCAGGATTTAGGAAGATTTTACGTAAAGGCTGAAGTTTACCCTTGGATAGGTTTTGTTGTTGTTCGGTCATTTTAGTCACGTCCAGCTCTTCGTGACCCCATTTAGGGTTTTCTTGGCAAAGATACTAAAGTGGTTTGCCATTTCCTTCTCCAGCTCATTTTATAGATGAGGAAACTGAGGCAAGCAGGGTTAAGTGACTTGCCCGGGATCATACAGCTAGGAAGTGTCTGAGGCCAATTTTGAACTCTGGAAGATGAATCTTCCTGACTGGTGCTCTATCCACTGTACCTTCAAGCTGCCCCTTGGACGAGATATAAAGACTCCAAGTAGCTCAGAGTTGGGAGGGATTTAGGAGACCTCCTGGTCTAAAGTGTCTCAACAGGGATCCCCCTCCTCCCCACATACCACACACCCAGCAAGTGATCATCGAACTTTTCCTTGAAGCCCTCCAGTGAAGGGGGGAGGCTGGGAGAAGAAACCAAGGGCAGCCAGGCAGAGCAGAGTCCCTAGCATCTACCTGGCCTCTATAAGAGAATAGATCCTTGAAGAGCTTGTAGAATTTGGTAGAAAGAGTGATGGCTTCATCCAGAGTCAGAGAACGTAAGGAAGAATTCCAGTTCTGTGACTTGCTTACCGCTTTCTGCACCTCCTTTTCCTCCTCAGTAAAATGGAAGGACTGGACTAGATCCAGTTAAAGATTTATTGAACACCTACTGTGTGCAAGACTTCAGGCCACTCGTTCCTCTTCCCCTCTAAGTGTCGCTCCTGGCCCCTTCCCTGCTGCCTGCAGGCATGCCAAGGTCTTCTCCAT